AAAGTGGTGGTGAGTACGGTCCACTTGTACTCCATAAAAACCCATTCTAAAGTAAACAACAATAATAATAATGATATCACAGAGCCGGTATATATAAGTAAACTGAAACTCCCGGACACTCTGGCCGGTAACTGTAATCTCCCGGACACTCTGGCCGGTAACTCCCGGATACTCTGGCCGGTACCGTGTGCATACTCTGATGGTATAACTAGGGCAAACTGGGCCACCACCAGAACTTAGGGAAGACAAACTTGGCCTTAACCCCAAGCGGATAAAACTCATATACATACCTGAACGTGATATCGACTATTAAACTCAATGTATAACCCAGACCGGGTCCCCACCTGATCGGTTTTTGAAAATGAGTAAGTGCGGCTGTGCTGGTAGCTGACTCCTCAAGCTACATAAAAATATAAGCAAACAAATATACTATGTACTATGCTCGTCATATGCTCAAAAATATGCTAGGATGCTCTACTTTATCAGATTACTCAACCGGATATAAACGAACTCTCTATGGGTTCACTGAAATAATTTTAAGTCCGGAAAATATACTGATATGCTTAACTGATCTAGTTTGGCTCGGAAAAATACTTAAATTTCGGAATAAGACTCGGACCGAAAATCACGAACCAAAACGGACTCGAACCGCCGGCTAAACTGGCTGGTTCGCTAACTGGCTAAACCGGGTCGGGCTGGACCGGACCGGGTTGGACCACCGGGTCACACTGGACTGGTTGGTCACGGGCTGCTCGGACTGGCCGGGCTCGGTCCCGTGCCGGGCCTGCTGGGGCCATGGCACGGCGCTGGGCACTAGCTGGGTGCGACCGGGCCTCGGTACTAGGCGCTGCTGGCGCGGGCTGTGCGGCTGGCACGGGCCCTGGCACTACTGGTGCCACTAGGTGCGACTGGGCACGACCGAGAGTCACTGGGTGTGCTGGCGCGCTGCTGGGCACGACCGAGCACTAGGGACGCGGGAACTGACGCGTACCCGGGCTGACTGGGCACTGGGCGTGCGGCTGGCACGACCCTAGTGCGACTGGCGCGAGAGCTAGGGCTGTCAGGGTGCTGCCGGGCAACCCTGGGCACGCGGGCGTGCTGCTGGGCACGTCCCGGGCCACTGACTGCTCGGGCGCGCTGCTGGGCACGTCCCGAGGCCTCTGGACCTTACTCAGGGTCACTAAGGCACGGCCCTGGACACTCGGGTGCGCTGCTGGCACGACCCGAGGTCGACTCTGCGTGGCACGAGCAACTGGCTCGAGGTCACGCGTGCACTGACCCTGGGACAACGCTGCCATGCGCTGCCCGAGGTGCCCTGGCGCGACTGGCGCTGGGACCTCGCTGGTTGGCACGGACAGGCACTGCTGGGTGCTGTCTCGTGCACTGGGACTGCAGTGCCTCGCGAGCACTAGGCGCGGGCACGGACAGGGACACGGCCTGGCCCCTGGGGCGCGGCACGGGCACAGCACGCGCGACTGGCGCGGCTAGTGACCCTAGCCGGTCTTTTCCAAACTTCCTTCAACTTTTCTAGGGACTAATGAACCATACCAACATAAAATGACATAATATACTCAAAAATGCCAAAAGTCCCTGAGGGACCTTGGTTGGATTTGGAGATGGGCTTATAGGGCCGATTAGGCATGAGGCCACCCTAGGGCATAAAAATGAACATGCTCAACATGTAAAATGACTTAGGGCCGAATAAACTACATCAAAAATCATGGCTAATGAGGCTAGAACATTGGCTAAAACATACTTGCACATATACTTAGGTTCGGGGGTGAAAATAGCTCGATTTCACATAGCAACTTGACCGAACAAATGAACTCAAAACATAAAACTGTTTCAACCATGTTATACTCATAATATTTGAGGATTTTTAAGATACTAATCTCGGCCATATCATGCTTGTACAAAAACTTACGAATTTAAGGCTTAGATGATCAAAAATTCATATCTCTTATATCTCACATGCATGGCATCATTTCTACACATGATAATTCTTATTTTATCATGAATAAGCTAAGAAAAATGGTTGGCACGAGCTAACCTTGCTCAAAATTCGAAATGGTGCAAATGGGCCTTGCTCGGGGATCTCGCGGCACTAGGAACTTAACCTCGACTTTGGGGCATGAATGGCTGAGGAGGATAGCTTCAAGAGACTTAGAAAAATCCAAAATAAGCTTGGATAATGATAAGCCTCGAGATAACTAGGTTGAAACAAGCTATACAGGAGCACTCCTCTTCCCCGGGGAACACGCGCACGGCTAGGGACAATGACTTTGCTCTCGGTTTTCTCTCTTCTCCCTCAATATTGCTAAGTGTTTGATGTCTCCAATAGCTTCAATACTCAATATGGGATGTCCATATATGAGAGATAGGGACGAAATAATGAGGTCATGAAGTGGAGACACAAATGTCCCATACCATCTTCTCACATGAAATGCAAGGTGATAGTTGACTTAGGGAAACTTCCTAGCACCTCTTGGAGGGAATATGGCAGAGCATCCAACATTAAAATAAGCATTGGACAGGTCTTGTTCGGATTGGATCACATGAGGGGACAATCCATGACACTAGGTAATATTTTAATCCATGCATATGTCTCACCTTTGGGCTCCCTTGAGGGGTGATTGGGCTTAACTTCCCTATTTTAGCTCAAAATAAACCTTATCCAATGTATAATGTTCGGAGGTTTTGGTCCCTGAAAGAATTGGGCCGAAAACATGTGAAATGGCCTCTTGAAGTTGGGCTGTCGCGCTGCCAGCGCTGGGCCTGGGCGCTGTCCCGGGCTGGGCACTGGCCCTGGGCGCAGTGACACGGGCTGGCGCGAGGGCGCGGCCTGGCTGCGCGAGAAAAATGGTTTGCTCGGGAAAAATGACCTTGGACTGATTTTATGGGCTGAATTGAGTCTCACAACACTTAGAAAAATACCATAAGTGTTTGGCCATGATTTGGGCACCATGCTTGACTCGCACGAGGCTAAGGTGCGACACTAGGACGCGACCCGTGCACGAACTCGGAGCGGTGTACTTGTCCAAGGGAATGATATCGAAGGCTTGATAAAAATGATCTCATACTTAGAAAATATTCTAAGTAAAGCTATGAGTACGGCTAGGGCTCGAACAAGACTCGAGACTACTAATGCTCGAGAATTGGCTAGGCGCGAAGTAGACGCGATACTCATGACCGAACAACTCGGTTCCGGACACGGCTTGACTTTGAACGAATTATCGAGACATACTCGGTTTCGATTATTCGTCAACTGAAATAATTAATTCCCACTTAAATAAAATCCATTTATAAAATAAATAGACCGGAATTAATAACTGAGATTGAATAGCTGATAACTGGCTCGGAATAAAGACAAGCAGTATTAATAAAAAGAAATAGTTCAACTGGGAACTAAAAATTGTTATTTTTATTAATACAGAATTTGGGCTATTACACGACCTCTCACTGTTTATGCATTCCTCAAAGGCATTATCAAACGGGACGCTTAGACTAGAGTTCTCACGCATACAACAATTTTTCGAACGAAACATTTATACAAAATAATAAGTGGGATAATTGTGTATATACAACGTAAATGTACCCACCTGATAAAAAGCGAGAGATATCACAAAATGAGTGTAGGCGGCGAGCTCGGCTCGTCAAACACCTACATTTAATAAAAATAGTCCTATAAATGACTATTGCACCCATAAACGACTAATCCACAATCACTTAGTCCAACTAAGCTCACATAAGTATTTAAGCATGCATTTAATCAAGGAAATCTCATTTTCGAAAATAACATGTAAGTTTTTCAAAACTCAACCCGGCCAACGTTTTTTTTTAAATCAACACAATTCTCAGCACATAACTCATATGAACATGATTCAAGTTGCATTAGAATCCTAAAACATGCATCTATAGTTCTTATGAAGACACCGAAAGCAAATAAGGCCATTTAACAGGTGATAAATCAACAAACACCCAAAATAGGGTTACAGTCCAAAACTGGGAATATGCAACTGACCAGACTTCAGTAAATGCTAGCTAACTGGAGCTACAGACATGCTTTCAATGATATTCAAAAATCATGATAGACAACTCAAATGTCTACAACGTTTTTGAAGAACACATTGGCAAATAATCACGTTATCAATGAGGTTAATCACCAAACATATGATTCAGAAGACTTGCTAGTGACTCACATGTGATATAGACAGCACTTCAGTATTTATCATCTGGAACGAGCTACAGACCTCCAAATGACATGATTCAAGTCTCAAATTAAATCTAAGGCATGCCTCTACAACTTTAGTTTAGAACATAGATGCATATAAGGTCATTAAGATAATATAAAAGTGGTTAACATTCAAAATCAGATTTCTGTCCAGGTACAAAACCCTATCTCATGCATATCTACACTCGTAAGAACACAACTCGAGCTACAGAGCACATATCAACATGAACTTTATCTCATTTGAAAGATAAGAAACAGACCTATAACGTTCATGAAGAGCATAATTCATACGAGCACATTGCGACACGATAAATAGGTCATTCATTAATTGAATACATGCTGCTGGGTGACAAGGAAAACTGGACGCACATTAAATTTTTAAAAATCATAACTTATTCGATATAATTCGGAATCATGAAATTCCACAGCCCAGAGACAGACAACCGAACATACTACATTTCATAAGAAGATTACAACTTCAAATAACCGGTCTCTGATGGCTTAAACTGAGGCACAACAGAACAGCGAAAATGCGATTTAACGTGAAATAACAATGAACTTATATAAACAGATGTTCTAAGCTTGACAACGAATCATATGACTTATTAACATCATCAAACAAGCACGATAAGATATCACAGCAATTCACGATACTCAATTCACGACAATACGAGCCGACATATACTAATCGATAGAACGCACTATATACGTATATATATGTCTAGCATGTGATATTCGAGCTCGAACAAAATCACGAGAGGGCTCGTAAATGTTACCCGTCTTCGGGAAGGAGATCGGAAATATGGGTCGAACGGACGGAAAGTCTATAACAGCAAGTCTTCGACGAATGGGCCCGGAGCTGCTCGCGAACGAAACCGACGGTGAGCTTGACCAACGGAGGCGAGGATGATGGCCTGAGGTCGCGGCCAAGGGACGGCGGCGAGGAGCTGCTGACGACGGGTTCCTGCCGGAAAGAGCTAGTTCACGCCAGAAATGGCGTCGTGGAGGACGGGTGGTCGAGCCCGCTGGGGTGGTCTCGCTCGCCGGTGATGGGACTTGCCGGGAAGGTGGTGAAGGACGATAGCTTCACGCCGGCAACACTCGCCGGAAATGGTGCAGCGGCGAGGAGTGGCGAGGTGATGATGATGATAGTGGTGGAGGCGATGGTCTGTGAGTGGCAAAAGGGGAGGAAAACTTTGAGAGGATGGGGAGAGATTTTTGAAAGTGAGGATATTCTCAACCGTGCATGATATAGACGATAGGAAGAGGGTGAACGGGCGTCTGTTGGAGAAGAACTCTCGTAGGAGACTCGCTCAGAAGCTAACGAGCATATTATATTTGCAGATAATCTCTTGGACTCGAGCGTGGAGGAGAGAAGGAAAAGGAGCGGCCATTTAAATCCTTGTTGCGCTTGCAATTGATTAAAATGGCAAGGTAATTCATAACTACAAATGGGCCAAAATATTTAACAAATTTGGCTAGAGAAAAATGATCCAAAAATGGCTACGGAAAATACTCAAAAATCGGCCGGTTCCTCTCGGGCTCGACTCAACAATTGTTCGAGGCTCTGTTCAACGTGGTGAAAATTAAAATGAGACCAATAATAATAATAATAATAATAATAATAATATCAATAATAACAATAATAATCCCAAATAATTTATAAACAGACGGGGCATTACATATAGGCTTTTTATGAACATTTCCAATTACTACTAACAGACTTTCTGGTGTTGACTATCGTACTACACAACTTGTGTTAAATTTATGTGTAGCTGTAATGTGGGGTTTTAGAAATAAGTTAAGGATCATGACAAGCACGACGAACTTGTGTTAGATATGTTAAGGAAATGGTTAAAATATTTTTTTTTTTCGTTTTCGATATATTTTTAGTTGCATGTTTGTTAGATCCGTCACGACATGAAATGGCTTGCTTAACCAACTTCACACATATTATGATATTATATATCAACTAACACTTTCTACTAATGTCTCGACTATCAGTGAAAGACCTAACCCACGGATGCTTGTCGAGCAAGCAAAAGTTTCATTGTATGATTTGTTTAGGGAAACAACGATCGGACTCAGAGAAAACCCGACATCATTTTATTTTCACGCTTTTGGGTCTTCTCTCAACAAACACAATGTAACGCCCCGACCAGTTACAATATTAGAACGGTTTCACTTGCTCGACTATAAAGTGAAATCGGTATTTTCAAATTTTCCCGAGATACGTTATTTCGGGAAATTTATATGCTAAGTGATCATTTATATAGTAAGTATGCAGATTATTCCTTGGAATTTTCTTCTTCATGTTAAGGCCAAGATCAATCCATTAATTTGGATTTATAAGTCATCACTATTCGACCATAGAAATTAATTGGCCTCGAGCCAGTCATCAGGTCATTCAGCTATAAGTTCAACTTTAAGTCGAGAGTATTCTCGGTCAATTCCAGTCAGTAACAGAGTCATTCCCAATAATTAATTCTGGTCCGTTTATTTTAGAAATGGACATCAGCAGTCGGGATTAATTAGTCCAAGTCGACGAATAATCGAAATCGAGTTTATTTCGATAAATCATCCAAGTCAATCCGTGATCGGAACCGAGTATGTTTGGTCACGAGTCTTGCGCCTAGTAGCTGCACCTAGCCAAGTCTTGAGCCCTAGCCGTGCCAATTCGACCACTCGAGGTCAATGCCGAGAAGGCTCAAGTCATAGCCAAGCATTTTGGGATATTTTCTAAGTATAGAAACTCTTAAGTTCAGCCTTAGAAGGAGTAATACTCGGCCCAAGTCAAGAGGACCCAATGCGAGCCCAAACATCATGCGCTGGCCCTAGAAGTTCCGCGCCCAGCCCAACAAATGCGCGCCCGGGCCTGCTCGCGCCAGCCCAAGTGCGAGCCACTTTCAAGCCCACGGTGTTAAGCTATGGCCCAATCCCTTCCAACCCAACATCCTGTGTGTGATTAAGGGGAAATTCAGAGTTGTTTAAGCCTAAGAAAGCCTTAAGAAGGATTAGTAAAAGTCAAAGCATCATTAAGCATAGTGGATTATGGGCATGGAATAAAATAATGCATGTGTGTAAGGCATTGTCCCCTCATGTGGTACCAGTCTGACCAGACCACTTCCTCCTCCCATAATGGCCTGCAAAGTCCTCCAAAAACCGTGCTAAGCCATGCCAAGACCATGCACCATGTCCACATGCGCCTAAGGTGAAGAAATTGCACAAGAGTTGGTCTCCCACTTAAAGCCTTGTTCAATCCGCCCAACACTCCTATAAAGACCTCATTCCTCAACTGGAGACTACTCTTGGTCACTTAGAATATTTGAGCTATCATATAGAGTGGTAATATAAGTGAAAGGCCGAGAGGAAGGTGCCTAACTCCACACGCGCGAGCGACTCGGTTAAGGGAGGACCATCCGCGCTTCAGCTTGTCTCCAGCCGAGTTCTCTTGTGACTTATCATTATCCAAGTGTTGATTGGATTTTTATAACTCCATAGATTCCATCTCTTTCAGACAAGAGCCACCAAGCCGCGCCTAAGTCCCGAGGAGCGCGAGTGAGCACGAGAAAGAAGAACCAACACCATTTTGGATTTCGGTGAAAGTAAGCTCGTGCCATCTATTTTTCCCAGCCTTGGCATGATATTTTAAGATTTATCATGAAGAAAAATGAAGCCATGCACGCATTTTAAGTGAAGTTTCAAATTTTGGAAGATGGACCTTAATTTCAGAAGTTAAGCAACTTGCATGGTTAGGCCGATTTTAGTAGCTTATAATTCTTTATAAATCATGAATATGACATTGGTAAAAGATGGACATGTTTTGAGTTCGTTTACTCGATCATGTAGATTGTGAAATTGAGCATATTTTCACCTCCGAGTCAAATTAAGATGCATGCAAGTTTTAGCCATTGTCTCAGCCTTAAAGATCATGATTTATATAGGTAAACACTCGGCCTTAAGTAAAACTTCAAGATGAGTTAGTGTATTCGGTGACTTAGAGTGCCCACGAGCCATATCAGCCCTACCGAACCAAGTTATGGTACAACCGAGTTATACTAGTGTTTCTTAGCACATTTTAGCATTTTATATCATAATATGTTTGATTAGTTCGGTTTTCACCGGAAAAGTTGCCGGAAGTTCGGCAAGGACCGGCCACGGTCACTTGTCGCGCATGCAGCGCACGTACTGCCGGGCCCATGTCCAACAGAGGCTAGGTTGCCCTGTCCCAGTGCCAACAGAGGTTAAGTTGACCCCAGTCAGTGCCCGCGCCCAGTAGATGCGAGGCACAACGGTGATGAAGATGTGGTCATCGACCCTTCTGAGCCCGAGGACGAGACGCGCTCGAGTCATGGAAAAAGACGCAAAAAGGGTCGGGACGACCACCGGGCCTGTCCAAAGGAGGTTCCCGATGGTTGCACGCGAAGAAACCGGGCAACGCGTAGACACGCGACACGCGTGGACCGCGTGACGAGGCATGCGGGACCGAGACGCGCGAGACAAGGGCGTGCGAAGGAAGGCACGCACGAGTGGACACCATGGCCCGATGACGAATGCACGGCGGGTAATTCACGATTGAAGGTTCGCAGGTGGTTCGACCATGCGTGAAGCGGATGGCGTGAGGAACTTGATCGGCGAAGCCGCGGGCGAGGGATGGCTAGCGTGTGGCAAAACTGCAGGCAGAGAAGGACGCGAAGGGCGCATACGCGCGAGATGCGAAGGGCGAGCATGCACGGGGAGCGATAGGTGACGCGTGGGGCGCAGATGCTCGCGATACGGCTAACGAGCGCGAGTCCTCGGAGGACTAGGACTAGCGCGACGCGGCTAGGGTTTTTGGTTGGCGTGCGGCGCAAGAAGACGCGTGAGGTTCTAGAAGGCCTAGGGTCGATTTTCCCGAGCATATTAGGAGTTTTAATTTGGTTAGGATATTGAATAAAGGCACATGCCTTATTAGTTTCGGTAAGTCTTTCATTATTAGATATTTAGTTACATTAGGACTTTATTTATTTCCATGCATTAGGAATTCTTCTTGAACTAGGATTAGATCTACTTAGCCTCTATATATACTACCTATTGTCATTCGATTTTAATAAGTTGAAGTTAATGAAAAAATCGTTCGCAAGAGCAAAACCGTGTGTTCAGAATTCGTGAGAGTTTTAACATACATTGATTTTGGCAAGGATTGGCACCCGAGCTGTCTCAAAACCGTGAGAAGATAAGGCTAATAACCGAGTCGTCCACACCTATCATCGAGAATAAGCAGTGGCAAAGCTTAGTTCGAGGCAAACGAGTTGAGGAGATACACGATTATTCATCATTGGTGCTTTCATTGAGAGTGATCAATCGTGTATCTTGTTTAACTTATCCTATCCCTTTTCTTTTCGAATTTTTCCTTTCTTTTCGTGATTTAGTGCGCGAGTTCAAAAAATATATATATATATATATATATATAAAAGAAAAAAAGAGTCATGACAAACCGAGAGAGATTTGAGATGTTGGAGGAAAGCATGAAGTCCCTTGGCGACGCCCAACACGCCACTAATGAGAACTTCGCCAAGCTCGAGCTCATGGTAGACGAGATGGCTGAGCAACTCGCACGAGTCACATGGCAACCGCGAAGGAGCCACGTATCGAGGTCGACCATGGCGAGGTCGAGCAGTTTCGAGTCCGACCGCGAGGACCATGATCTACGGTCGAGGAGGTTGCGGGCGTCAAGCCGATGCGAGGAGAGAAAGATAGAGAGGCCGAAGCTCGTGATGCCCACGTTCACGGGGACTGACCCGGATGCGTGGCTAATTCGAGTTACGCAATTTTTCGAGATCAGTGACGTGCCCAAGTCCGAAAGGGTTAAGATGTAAACACCCCGCCTTACTTAGCTTTGAATACTGAAAATCAGAGTAAAATTTTTCTTTTTATTTTTGAAAGGCTGCGAGCTTGGTTTTTGAAAATACTTACTTACTTGCGGGATGCTACGAAAACTTTCTTATCTTACTCATGCAGACATTATAAAACATGCAACCAAATCAATCCATTATGGAGATAATGGAATCACACATGCAGTCTGACTGTCTAGTTTAGCGGAAGCTTTAAACTGAAAATATACATAACATACGCATACATATATATATATACATGCTCATGAATTTAGGACGTAAAATGCGTGTAAAAATGTCCTCTGCTCATAACCATGATTGCACGTCTGCTCACTCAGCATGTTGGACTCCATCACCTGAAATAGGAAAAAATGTGGGAGTGTGAGCACATCTGCATGCTCGTGGGAAAACTGGAACTGTAATAATCTTAACTGGAAACATAAACTTAAAAGCAACATAAAATAAATAAGTTGTATTATACTGTAAATTTTTCTTAAACTTGAACTTTGGTCAAAAGACCCTTCTCGGCCTTGGCCGCTCGTGTGCACACCCCGATTGGAATATTAAGGCCCTCGGCCTCCATCGGGTACCAGGTGGAATATTAAGGCCCTCGACCTCCAATCCTGGGAGAACTAACTGGACCACGAATGGGATAATTCAACCGTTTGGGTAAATATCTTACTTACGTATGTCTTACAGGATAACTGAAATGCGCAATGTAACGCCCTGTAAAGGATCCCACCTGATATGCTGAAAATTCATGTTGCAAGTGCTTGAATACTGAAGTAGCTGTCGGAGGCTCGACTCTCCTTAAGCTACATAAACATATAAGCAAATAAATGCTAAGTATATGCTTAGAATTCTTAATGATATGCTATGATGCTCGGTTCTATTTGCTCACTTAGCCGGATGAAAGGGAATGCTCTAATAGTCCGCTAAAAATATACTAAGTTCCGATTTTAGACTGGCATACTTGACTGGGCTGGTTTTGCTCGAGAATATACTTAGAGTTTGGAATCTAACTTGGACCGAAACTAACAAACCAAAAATAACTCGAACGGTCGGTCAAACCGGTCGGTTCGCTGACTCGCTAGACCGGACCGGTCAGGATCGGCTGGAATGGGCCTCCGGTTCACTGTGAACCGGGTGGTCGGGTGTTGTCCTGGGCTGATCGGTTCGGTCCCACGCCGGGCCTGCTGGTGCCCTGGCGCGGCGCTGGGCACTGCTTGGTGCGACCGGACACAGTCCTAGGCGCTGCTAGGCGCGAACAGGCACGGGCAGAGGCTGCTGGCGCGAGCCCTGGCATGGCTGGTGCCTCTCGGGTGTTGTTGGGCACGGCCAGAGCCTGCAGGCGCGAGCCCTGGCACGGTTGGTGTCTCTCGGGTGCTGCTGGGCACAACCGAGACTTGCTGGGTGTGCTAGCGTGCGGCTGGCACGACACAGGCACGACTAGACTCAGGAAAGACACGGGCGCTGCCGGGCGTCCCTGATGGCTCTAGGCACACAGCCGTGCTGCTGGGGCACGGATCGAGGCCGACTAAACTCGAAAGACACGACTCGGGTCAGTCCTGGGCACTGCACGAGGCTCTAGCGCGAGACTTAGTGTGTTGCGACTAACACGGCGCTACCAAGCGCCGTGCATGCGGGCTGAGCACGACTGGTGTCGACAACACGCATGCTGACACAGACTCGCGCTGCCGGGCACGGTCGCGTGCACAGGGTTGTTGTGCGTCGCGCCTACAGGGTCGGGTAAACTTAACCCATGTAGACACGCGGTCTGGGCACTGACTTGGTAAATTAGCCTCTAAAGGCAGGGACATGCACGGGGCCGAGCACTGACTGGCCAAACTTAGCCTTTGAAGGGCGCGAGCCGGGCACGGCGCGCGCTGCATGCGCAACCAGTGACCATAGCCGGTCCTTACCGGCCATCCGACTACTTTTCCAGTGACATCTGACTTGTCTCAACTTAACATGATATAAAAGGCTCAAATATCACAAGAAACACTAGGAGACCTCGGGTCAACATGAACATGGTTCGGTAGGGCCGATAGGGCACGTACGATCCCTAAGTCACCGGAACAACTTCTCAATCTTTAACTTATGACTAAGGCTGAATACTTTACTATTCAAAACATGACTTTTAAGTCCAATAAGCTCGACTTTACTTGCATGCAACATAACTTGACCTTGGGGGTGAATATCACTAAAAATCATGAATTAAATGACCGGGTAAGTTGAACTCCAAACATGCTCAAATTTTTACCACGTCATTCTCATGATTTATAAGGAATAATAAGCTAGCAAACTCGGCCTAACCATGCATGGAACAAGAAATTCGAATTTAAGCCTCTTAACTTCAAAAATTCAAAACTCATAGATAAACACGAGCATGCATGGATTTCTCTTCATGATAAATCTTAAAATATCATGAAATGGCTAGGAAAATTGGGTGGCACGAGCTTACCTTCTCCAAAGTGCGAGATTGAGTGCTAGGGCTTAAACTCGGGCTATTCGCGGCTTCTAGAGACTAAGGCTTGCTCGTGGTGAAAATGGCTGTACCTTGGTGGATGAAAAGTTTTAGAATAATCCAAGGAATGCTGTGAAATAGAAGAGCCTCGGTGGAAGTCGGCTGGAACAAGGTGTGGCTCGCGATCCTCTTCTCCCGGGTCTAGGCACGCGTGTGTAGGGGTTGGGGTGTTCCTCTCGTTTGTTCCTCTGATTTCTCACTAACTGCACGAGCTATGACGTGTCTAAGAGCTAAAAATAGGCTGAGGAATGAGCCTTAAATAGATGATGGGGGGAAGTTACTAGGTATGGTTAATGGGAGACAAAATGGGTGGACTTCTCTTCACTCCATGAGGGTGAGGACTTGAGGCTGCATTGGGGAGGACTTGGGTGGACTTTGAGGAGGTTTTTAGACATCTTGGCAGAAGAACCTTGGTCTGGTCGGGCACTAGGTAAGTGGGGGACAAAAACTTACACAAGGAATAAAATATTCACTTGCACATGCACCCACTTAGCCTTAATGCTAATTGACTTTCCTTAATGCTTGCTTAGGGCCATCTTAGCTTAAATTACTCCTCATTAACTCCTTAATACACGCAACACTTGGGTTTAGAAGGAAATGGGCCAAAATTCTTGGAATTGGGCTCGGAAGGTGGGCTGGCACTGTTGGCGCTGGGCCTGGGCGCGACACTGGACTGCAGCGCGGGCTGGCTGCAGGCGGCCCTGGACTGGGCGCGGCACTGCTGGGCTGCACGCGAGAAAAAGACTTGGGCCGAGTATTACTCTTCTAGGGCTGGTTAATGGCTGAACTTAGGTTCCAAAACACTTAAAAAAATCCCATCATTGCTCGGCTATGACTTGGACCCAACTCGGGTATGCTAGGGCTCGGGGATTGGACTCGCGCAAGGCTTGAGCGTGCTAGCTTGGCTCAGGAAAACTTGGGCCGAGAAAGCTTGGTTCTAGGGGTGACCTCGAGACATCAAAACACTACTAAGGCTCGACTAGGGCTCGAGACTTGGCTAGGCGCGGAACTAGGCACGAGGCTTGTGACCGAACATACTCGGTTCTGTTACGACTTAACTTGGACGATTTCTCGAAATATACTCGATTTCGATTACTCGTCAACTTGGAATAATTAATCCCGACTGCTGATGTCCATTTCTAAAATAAACGGACCGGAATTAATTACTGAAACTGACTCGGTTACTGACTGGAGTTAACCGAGAATACTCTCGACTTAAAGTCAAACTTATAGCTGAATGACTTGATGACTGGGCTCGAGGCCAATTAATTTTTAGGGCCGAACAGTGATCACTTATAAATCCAAATTAATGAATTGATCTTGGCCTTAACATGAAGAAGAAAATTCCAAGGAATAATATACATACTTACTATATAAATTAGCACTTAGCATATAAATTCCCCAAAAT